GTACTTCTCCATTCCAGTGAGATCAGCGAATTCACCGTCGTACCTTTTTTATCGAGTAACATCACGTAACGAGAGAGTTTACATATTTACCATTTATCATCCTTATCACGAGGGTTCCATACCACATTTGAAGTTTCGAACGCCCCTGCATAGACAGAAATGTTATTTTCCCACATCTTGTGAGAATCCATGAAGTCGAGCAAACGGTCCACGTGAACATACGAGTCCGTGTCAACTTTCAACAGGAGCTTGAAACTGTCAATAAACATTATGATGATGGTTGGTTAGGAAGAGTACAAGTAGTACGATTTAGTACGGTGGACGACCTCGTGGATGGAAAGGCGAGTCTTCGTCGCGAGGTTACGGTAATAGTCTTTGAAATCGGCAGGGAGAGTGATGATATCATCTGAGATGATTTGGCAGAGGAGTGGTATGCTGGTGGTTGTTGTTGATTATTATTATTACCGAATTGCTTCATTTCGGCCATCGCTGTATCCCTAGTATAATTATCAGGATAATGTGCTCCAACAGTAAATAGTAATTTAATACTTCGTAGACCACCACGGTTATTCTAATATTAATAATATCCAATTACTACTACTACTACTACTACTACTACTACTACTACTACTACTACTACTACTACTACTCACACTACTACTACTACTACTACTACTACTACTACTACTACTACTACTACTACTACTACTACTACTACTACTACTACTACTACTACTACTACTACTACTACTACTACTACTACTACTACCTGTTCATGACCCCTCAATTGACGTGCCCATCCATCTCTAACTGCACATCTCCTCGAGAACTCTGTTATATGACTCGGTATTACTATTACCAAATCCCACTCATTCATCAGCTCCTGATCTTCATCATGCATAATAAGCACAGGTAAACCCCTACTACTACTACCATCACAAAACCAACCCCAGTACTCAACGCAAATCCATAAAAAACAGCTGACGCCATTCCTGGCAAAAGGGTTTCCTCTTTACTGACCAACATTGTCGAACAGTTCGAGGTGGTAAATGGAAGAGGAGGAGGAGGAAGGCGAAATAGTAGTTTTAGTTCTCACCACCACCACCACCACCCTCGTGTGAGAGACATAGCAGAATACCCCCGCTGAGTGGTATGATAGTATCTTAGGAATTAGGCTACTACTACTAGTACAATGATACGATGATGACAATAACGATGATGATGATGATGATAAGGAACTCGCATTCAAGCGAAGAACTATCATCAGCAATCACTGTGGCGGCAACAACTTCACGAAAGGACCGTAAAATTGGCATTCGCATAGTAGTAGTAATAGTAGTTTACAGATGTCCATACGCAACGGGTGGAGTGATGTAATATAGTATACAGACTAAATCGGGGGTGGCAAATTTCGGGAAGCGAAACCAAGATGGGCAGATACCCACAACCCTGGACGGTTGCGATTTACTCTTGCCGTTCTCGAGAAATTCTATATGGACCTCTGTGCCATCGTTTAAAGAGAAATATACCACCGAGAGAAAATATTATCATAATACCAATAAGAGGAAAACTAAGGAGAGAACGCATACCCCAATTGTAAGTCACATCGCGCTCATGCTCGCCACTGCGGATCGCTCTAGAAGGTGATGACCGGGCCGATTCATCCTTCTTTTTCCGAGAGATCATCCATGGCGATTTCACTGGCTTCAAATGGTCGCTCAAAAGGCGATACAATTCCACATCATTCACATAGGTGGCCGATGATACATATCTCTCATCATCGTTGTGATTATCACAATCTCGTGAGGAATTGTAAACCGTACACATACCCAGAGTACCCTGCATAGTAGGTGACGACCAGCCAATTAGTACACCCTCAACCGTAGTAGCAGTGCCACCACCATCGCCCTCCGTAGAGCTCGAGAGCATTCTAGAGTCTTCAACCGTCTCCTCCTCCTCGGCCGCCTCCATCTCATCTGCGTAAAATCGCCCAAGTTCTTCACATTCAGGCAATGTGATGAGATCGCGACTGCCGAGGACCTCCATGCAGAGTGCGAGATTCGACACCACCCCTCGTGGTGACACTGGTCTCCAGTCCTTCTGCAGCTGTAGAGGAGCTTCTACCCCCGCCGGACGATTGTCTGCTGGAATGGACGAAGCCGCGCATTCGAACTCATCATAGTCGTTACCATCATCACCCCGACACACCACAAATCTAAAACCATCAAAACAATTCACTTTACATACAAATGAACTCAACCAGGAAGATGTGTACGAAATTTGCTGACAATTTCATATT